TCGTTTTATATGAATTTTTCGTTTTTCTTGAGAGTTCAGTTAATTTTTTCGGTATTCGAAATATTAAAAAAATTTAGCAATCGTGAAAACTCACCATCTCTATCGAAAACCAGAAACCAGAAATCAAAAAAATGAGCATAGAAGTGCAAAAATTTATGGAATCAATAAATTTATTTTTACTGACTAATTAAAATTAATTAATAGGTACTTTTAAAAGTTGAGCGCATCTTGAGTTTATAGAACTTTTTATTAAACAAGTAGTTTTTAAGGAAAGAACACAACCGACTTCAAATTTAGGGGTACCGTTAATTTCTTCATGATCCAATCATCGGATCTCTAAACCAAATTACGGGACGACCCTTGAGGTACCATCTTTCCAATAAAAAAAAGGATTATTGAAATCGGTTCACGTGGTCAAAAGTTATATATTCCGGCGTATTGATAACCTCCTTTTTTTTTGAAGTCGGTTAAAAGTGTTTGAGTTCTGTTAATCTTATGTAAATAAAGTGCAGTTTATGGATTTTAAAACGTTTATTTATTTATTACATACTGTACATAAAACTTGCATGAATGTATTTTAAAGAGCGTATTATCTGAAGCAAATTTTCAGTATTTTCCGGTGATATATATTCAGAAATATAAAACCCCCCTAAAATATATTCCTGGGTGCGCCCCTGGTACATACATATGTAAATTACTTAACTTGTGCATTTTAACTGATTTTCTCGTTATTACAGATTTGCAACAATTAAAATTAAAACCCACCATCATCTTTAATGCCGTCACCAGCTGATATCGCACGCACCTCCTCCATCACCTTTAATGCCACCACCAACATCGTACCATCACCTTCAACACCGGTACCAGAAGTATCGCCACCATCATCATTCAACACCGGCACCAGCAAAATCGCACCATCAACATTCCACGCCTCTACCAGCAAAATCACCTTCAACATCGCCACTATTACTTTAAGGCCACCACCAACATCACCTTCAACGCCTGCACCACATCAATGGTCTCTCTGCAATAACTACACAATTCAAAATTCAAAAAATAAAAACTGTTACTACTGTTAAGTCGCTCTTGTCTGTAATCTTCGTCTAATCCATTTCCAACCTTTTATAAAGTATGCAGTAAGGATTGCAAAAGTAAGTACTAAATATTAGACATGGATTAGATAGATATATGAGCCACTTAACAGTAGTAAGGGTTTTGTTTTTTGAATTTTGAATTGTGTCGTTATTGCACAGGACCATCGATATGTACAAAGTATGTTATTTGTTTGCACATATGTACTATAAGAGTTTTGTATTAATAAACGTTTTTTTAAATAAACCAATTCATTTTTAAAAGTAAAAATTTTGATTTTCTACTCATTTGTTTTTTCCTGTACTGAGGAGTTTATAACGACAAAAATTAGTAGTTTGATTATTAGTGCTGAGGAGTTTATAACGACAAAAATGAGTAGTTTGATTACACTACGCGACAGTCAAAATCGGGATGGGATGAAACCAACGGGAATTGTTATATCCGTCAAAAACAAGTTATACGTGGCCCGGCGTTTCGCTAGGTCACGTCTAGGAATCGAGATATATCGATTTGAAGTTAGTAACTATCATATAGGGAAAATTGTCACCTTTTTTTGAGATACCTTCACTTAATTGTGAATAAAAGCGAAACGCGTCCATCGATTTTCATGATCTATGTCTCATTTTGCTTAAAGGTTATGTGACTTTGCGTGAAAGTAATACGACTTGGCTTTTTTTCCGTTTTGGATTTTTTATGAATTTAAAAAATAAAAAAATTTAATATTTTAGGCAAAAAATATTTTTTTCTTCATACATTTATTGTTACCGGCAAAACTGTTGATTATATAGAAAAACGTTATATGAACAGATTAAAGGAATTGTAATTTTTTTAATTTGTTTGAGCAAAATCGGACAAGTGGTTCTCGAGTTATGTCAAATAAAAACCACCAAAGGTGACAATTTCCCCTATATGATAGTTACTAACTTCAAATCGATATATCTCGATTCCTAGACGTGACCCAGCGAAACGCCGGGACACGTATAACTTCTTTTTTACCGATATAACTTTCCCCGGGAGTTTGAACCCTTCCCGATCACTGACCCCTACCATTTGTCTCACAGTGTTATTAGTGCTGAGGAGTTTATAACGACAAAAATGAGTAGTTTGATTATTAGTGCTGAGGAGTTTATAACGACAACAATGAGTAGTTTGTTTATTAGCACTGAGGACTTGCTAAAGACAACAATGAGTACTTTATTCATTAGCACTGATGTGTTTATAAAAACGAAAATAAGCAGTTTGGTAGTTTCTAGAGCAGAGCAGATATATTTTTCATTAATCAAAGTTTTCAATTAGTAAGAAGAGGTAAAATATTACACCAACAAGGGGAAAGTGCTCAGTTTTATCCCATCGCCTGAACAAAAATGAGTATTTTAATAAGCACTTTTGTAATTAGTGATAATGATAAAATGAGCACTTATTTGATGCTCAGCTGTCTTGCAGGGACAATTTCGAGCAATTTCAATTTTTTATTTTCACTTTTATATGATTTTAAAATGTTGGCAAACTTCAAAAAAAAAAATCATGGCCGACAAATTGAGAGAACGGTTCTACCTTGCTATGTTTTTATCATGGTATAAGCGCCTGGTATTAGGAAATGAAAATATGATTTAAAAACTGGTCATAAAGGTAGCCGCGCGAAAAAAAGAACTGAAAGATAATTATGCTAATTAAGTCAACGAAGGACTTAAGACGCGAACAATATCAGAATATTCACCCCAATGATAACCGATGTGGAAGTTGAAGCAATCCAGGCGGGCTACTCTGTAATGCGATGCGATAGGCAAATACGTCGTAAGTAGTACGCTGTGGCGAGTGCCTATCGCATCGCATTATAGAGTAGCACCCAGCTTTCTTTAACAATCAACAAGCAGACTAGACCTTCGTTACTTCTAATAGTTTTGCCAATCAAGAGAACGGGATTTGAAATTACTCTATCTTCACTGAATTTTACGTTTGCTCTATTAATTGCAGTGCCTTCACCATTTCTCGTTTTTCCTCCACTGAGGGATCATTATCAAAAAACGATAAAGCAGTTGTTGTTGTTGACCACATTTTATTGAATTTGGCTTCTTGAAAAAGAATCGGAGTAGCTACTTTTTATGAAACGATATTCCACAAAATTTATCTTCTTGTTTGTCAGATTTACTTAAAATAGTATAACAAAACCCGTCGTCAAATTAGCTAATTTTTATCTATCAAAATAATTATGCAGTAACTTACAAGTAATTTTAAATTCTCAGAATTTCCCTCGATTGAGAGGATACAAAAGGACAAGAACGCCAACCATGGAAAAAGCTTGAAGTTTTATCTAACTTTAGTAAAATAGTTTTTATTTCGGTGGAAAATATTTATAAGTATAAATTTATCCCGCAGAAACTTCCAACTTTGTCTAAAAATCAAATATTTTTTTGCTAGCTCAATTTATCTTATTCTATCAACTTTTTTGCAAGCCAAGGCATAATAAATAATTCGTCACAATTGTTACAAACTATTACAAACTATTGCTTAATAAAACAAACCTATTGTCAGCTGTTTTTCTAATTGCGATGTGCATAATCATGCCAATAGAAATTATATTTTAATTGATTTGATACAGTATCGATACGTTGCTTCAATCCAATATCATTTACTAAATTTGCTATAACTTTTCTATTTTCAAATCGATTTGTAAAAAGTTTGGATCTATAGAATTTGAAATTAAATAAGTTTTAATATAGCATAAGAATAAGAACAAAAAGTTTGCAGCTTTTAGATTTAATTCAGAGTAGAATATCGATGGGTCCTAAAATGCCAATAGAAATTATATTTTAATTGATTTGATACAGTATCGATACGTTGCTTCAATCCAATATCATTTACTAAATTTGCTATAACTTTTCTATTTTCAAATCGATTTGTAAAAAATTTGGATCTATAGAATTTGAAATTAAATAAGTTTTAATATAGCATAAGAATAAGAACAAAAAGTTTGCAGCTTTTAGATTTAATTCAGAGTAAAATATCGATGGGACCTAAAATTTTATCCGATTTCACCCATAAATTTGCAGATAACTCTTAAACTGATAATTTGATTGCAAAACATTGTATAGCAAGTTAAAAGGGATTTCGAAGAACTTTAATCTGGTGGAGAGTTTTTGCGGTGTGATAATCAGAACCGGATATTTTTGGAAAAAATTTAAAATGCTGTTTTCTCAATTTGAAAAAAACGATAATTCCGCAAATACTTAAAACCTATTCTACTTTTATTTATTTTTGACCTCATATTCAGATACTGTGTTATTTTACATCGCAAATGACTATAAAATTCACAATTTTCAACTATTTTGTTGAAAACTTGTTTCCCTGAATGCATATGGCTTTCTAAATTTTCAAATGCAACGCGCAAGTACTTAAGAGTTATCATGTTCGAATACATCTTTACATCGAAGACATCTTTTTCCGCCCTGCAAAACAACATTTTTTTAACGAACGGTCTAATGCAGACGCTCCTCTCATTCTTAAAGTTAATTTCTCAAAACTTTTGTTCTCGTTTTATTCTCTAGCAAAACGTTCCCCAGACTTTTGTACTTATTTGATCCTCCTTGAAAACGTTCTCGATACTTTCATTCTTATTTTTTCCTATTGAAAACATTACCGAAAGATTCGTTCCGATCGTGTCCTTTTTGAGAACGTTCTCATGAGTTTTGTTCGCATTTTGTTCTTTACGGAAACGTTCCGAAACTTTTTGTTCTCATTTTGCTCCCGTTGAAACTGTTTCATTCCTTTTGTTCCCTATTAGTTCTTATGTGGGAACGTTCTTGATATTACATTTTGTTCTCATGCAGACTACCAAAACTAGAACACGACCTCGGTTCCGGATTGTGCAGTACACTACTACTTACATACAGTCACGAAAATGCTGCTGCTCTTGGCAAGAGCCCTCGCTTAGGCACAAGGCTGGTAATTTTATTTTAAATAAACGTTTAATTAATGGCGATTTCGTTTCTACAAAAAATTTTGTGTGTTTCACTGCCCGGTTCTTAGGGATTGTGATAAGGGGACAATGACAAGGTAACGAAAACGCCATACGATTTGATTTTCCGTGTTTCTTCCAAAAAATTCGCGCTTCAACAGTGCAAAATATGTTTGATGTTACAGTCAACTCTGTAAAACGGGTATGTTTTCGTCATCTTTTCCTTGTCTAGCTCACGCAATTCATAATATTGTCGTTTTAAGCAACTATCTGATTTTCAAGGCAATACAAAGCTTCAAAGGGCAAGGAATGTGCCTTTTATGCCTTACAATGGTGTAACATTTAAAGAAACGAAAAAATTAATTCCCCACTCTTTGCCTTTATTTTAGAACCGAACACGAAAAGAGAAAGAGGTCATTAAAGACGAAATTTTTCGGTAGAAACGAAATCACAATAACTTTCTATCTGTTCTTTTAGAATACTTAGAATATTTTTTATTAAAAAAGCTTAAAGTTCGTCATGATCATTTAGCTGTGGACCATCTACTTCATCCTCATCTTTTTCGTCATCATCTTTGTCCACATTCTTTTTAGCTTCCTCTTCATCTTTTTTCCGTTGCTCGTCGTCCTGTGCTTCTTTCATTTTCTTTTCCCCAGCTTGAATATCTTTTACTTTTGATGCCTTTTTAAAAGCTTCATCGATATTATCAGTTATGAGTACGTTGTCAAATATTGTACCAGACTTAACTTGCCATAAATCAAAACCTAGTATGCACAACTCCTTTCTTAAGTATAAATCTCCTTCTGGTTTATAATCGGGATTTTCAATTTCTGGATGTTCCCAAGCTCCTTTGTAATCCGGATTGTCTAGTTGCTTAGGCTGCCATTCTCCTTTGTAATCTGGGTTGTCTACCATGGGCGGTTCCCATTCACCATCCATTTCATCATCCCAATCTTCTGGTTTAGTAGCATCAGGATCGGGAATATACTCGGACTTATCCCAATCCAAGGGCTTCTTATCGTCGGGATCTGGAATTGTGGGCTAAACAAAATTGTTTAGTATAAAGATTAATAGATAATAAAGGCGAATGAACATACCCTATCGTCCCAATTTTCAGGTTTCTTAGCGTTTGGATCCTTAATCTTCTTTGGCGGAAGAAAATCCCAATCATCCTCAAGGTTACCAGACTCAATTTTTTCGTTGTCAATTAAAACTTCATAGGTGTTGTCGGGCTTTACAATAAGCGTGTAAAAGTGGGTATAAACATCATCTTTGCATCTCAAGTCCTTTTTAATTAGATGGTTTTTTCCTTTATAGCTAAAGATAACATGGACTTTCTTGGTTCCAGGTCCGCAAATATCAGGCCCAAACATAATTTCATATGGGGATTCCCCATGCATATCTTTCTGATCTAAAGAGCAATCAAAAAGTTTTACATATCCTCCACCACAATCTATATTTTGTTCGTGCTTTACGGAAAACTGAATCACTAAATTTTTATTTTCGTTGCTGAAGGGTTCGAATTTTCTTGAAACTGCATAAAATCGGGCATCTTGGGATGTTTGCAACCCTAAAAATAATTTTAAACGAGTAAAAACTAGAGCATTAGTAATGTTTGATGAATATGTGGACCAATAAAGAATAGAAGTGAAAGTCGGGGGTTTGAAATGGAAAAAACTAATTTTGATGGCACTATTATGATGTTTCGAATGTCATATTTTTCACATTAGCGAATTTGAATGCGAACGTTAGGAATAACATTAAAAAAGCTATAATAAACTAAAGCTATCGTTTTCTAAATTTTTAGAATATTGAACCAGTGCTTAACCTATACAATGTTTTAATCTAGTAGTCAAGAAAAAGTAATATTTCTGCCTCTTCTCCGATGAGTCGATTTCTTGGAGGCTCATACATACATTTCCATACGTCACATACGTGACAGTCGTACGTTTCAATGAGATACAAACAAGGTAGAACAATTGATTTCTTTTACTTTTTTAGACCTTTGTATAGCACATAATTCGGACCATAAATACGGTTTTTTTAAATATCTCGACATTGGCTCCAGGTAGCAAGACCATTTTACGCAAACATTTTTATACTTACATTGCCAGTATATATTTAAAAAAAGCAGACAACTTGTCCCATAAATACGTTAGAAATATGATTTTTATTTTTTGTCGCGGTAGACCTTCCGATGGAAATACCCATATACATATAAGGCTAGCTGCACTTTCGACGTATAATGTAAAAAATTAACTGAAATATGTAACTACCAATACAATTACGTAAAATATGAATAGCACTTATATATTTTAAGGTCATCACAAAAAAGAGGATAAAGTGCAAACGTTAACAAAACAAGTAAGAAAGTCTAAGTTCGGGCGGGGCCGAACATTAAATACCCGGCGCAAGTATCACATATATGCCTTTTCACCTTTCCGAAAGCTACCGCTACATGGTAAGCCGGGGTGTATCAATTTTAAATAAATTAGCGTCCTTAAATTTCGAAATATTGACGTTTCGAGCATTTCTAAAATTTACCGTTATATGATAAGTGGTCGTAATTTTAATCTGATTCCAATAATTTTCAGCGGTTTGCTTCTATGTGGCAAGCACAATAATCATACCGAGTTTGGTACAAATTGGTAGAACGGTTACCGAGATACATATATGTGATCATAAGTGGGCGATGCCAAGCCCATTTTCCAAAATTTTATGATAAGCGTATTTCCTGATAAAGAATTGTTGCAAGCATCAATTTTGAATAAATTAGCTTCAATATTTACGGATTTATCGAAGATTTCGTATTTCTCCAAATTACCGTTATATGGGATGTGGGCGTGGTTAATGTCCGATTTTTAAAATTTTCGGCCATTTGGTATCCTGTACCAAGGCCAATAACTGTGGCAAGTTTGGAAGAAATCGGTGCAGCGGTTGCCAAGATATACACATGTAACACTAAGTGGGCGTGGCTACGCCCATTTTTCAAAAATTTATAATATTCTTATTTTTTGTCTAAAAGTTATTGCATATATCAATTTTGAGTGAATAATCTTCAGTAGTTACTAAAATATCGCAGTTTTAGTATTTATGAAAATTACCGTTATATGGGAGGTAGGCGTGGTTATTGTCCGATTTTGCCCATTTTCAATACCATCCGTCCTACGCCCGAAAGAAGTACACGTACCAAGTTTCGTTAAGATATCTTAATTTTTACTCGAGTTATCGTGTGCACAGACGGACAGACGGACGGACGGACGGACGGACAGACAGTCACCGCTTAATCGATTTCTCTTTTCATCCTGATCATTTATGTATACAATTGTCTATATCTATCTCGATTCGTTTTGCCTGTTACAAACAACCGTTATGTGAACAAAGTTATAATACCCTTGTGCACAAGTGCGCTCGGGTATAAAAATGCGAACACATTTGAGAGCGCCCAATTATATTTCTATTTCTACGACATGCAGCAGCGTACAAGGGTTGTGTTGCCTGTAAAATACTAAACGTTAAATTGAAACAACCTTTAACATATCTAGCCCTTTTTGCTATTGTATCTTTAGCGACTGTTTAAGCCGCCGCTTAAACCTAATTCAGCGGTCGTGCGCGTATCCTTTGACCGCAGTGGAGTCGAAGCGACTCCGAAAATTATTAGCGAGCGCTCACGGCCGCCTACCATCATCGCGGCAAATTACCATCGAACCAGTTCAGCTATTAACATCGGTTAACGCGCACGCGTTCTAGCATTGAAGTCAGTACGAATTTAAGTATACCTTTAAATAAATTTGATATATATATGTACACTCAACAAAAAGGCTTGTGAATGAACTAAAATTTTGTAAATTTTAAACTCGAAAACCAAGGCTTTACTTTAAAGCGGAGACAGTGTGTGTAAAGCAAGGTGAGTGCGAAGAGACCAAGCGAAGATTTATTCATGGTCCTTCGTCCCACATCTTCCGTCGTCAAACCAGATAAGGTGACCACCAAAGTTCGCGTGGTATTCAACGCCTCAAAAACATCTGGTTCAGGAAAATCCCTGAACGACGTGTCCCGACTGGTCCCACACTCCAGCCAGATCTCATGCTGCTCATTCTGCAGTGGCGAATGCACAGATTCGTGTTCAATGGAGACATTGAAAACATGTACCGTCAAATACTCATCCATGAGGACGATAAAGATTTTCAGCGAATCTTATTTCTCACATCGGCTGACTCTCCTGTCACCGATTATAATCTCAAAACCATAACGTTCGGCGTTAATTGTGCACCATACCTCGCTATCCGTACCCTGCAACAATTAGCAGATGATACGATAGCGACGTATCCCTTGGCTGCCACAATACATAAAACCGAAACGTTTGTGGATGACATCCTATCCGGAAGTCATGACATTGACAACGCCACTGAATCACTTGTTCAAGTGATCAAAGCGCTGAAGTCAGCTGGTTTCATACACAAGAAACTAACGGCCAATCATCCGGTCATTTTAGAAAAATTTCCAAAGGAGGATCCTCTCGACTCCAACTTTTTGAAATTTGAAACTCTTGGTATACAATGGAACGCACTGACAGATAAACTTTCCTACACCATTCTGCCAGCATCGACATCGAATGCCATTACAAAGCCACAAATCTTATTCTCTGTCGCAAAACTTTTTGACCTGGCAGGATGGCTGTCGCCTGCTTCAAGAACTTTGGCTGGATGGCGTTGATAGGGACGAATGTGCCAGACCCATAGCCTTAGCAAAATGGCAACAGTTCGCAGAAAATCCGCCAGCCATCTGCCACATCGAAATCCCTCGATGGATTAACGTCACTCCGCACATAAGGGTATTTCAACGATTTAGGCGGCCCAAAACCAATTTGAGAAAATTTTGGAGAAAACTTAAAAAATTAGTCACTTTCGATAGAGAACATTCCAAGTAACATTTGCCTCACTTGCCCTCACTTTTCTAACTTGCACAGCGAACGCTCACCGGAAACAGAATATTCTAACGCTACTTACAAATAAATTTTCGCTCTTAATATTTTGATTTCTGCATTATATTCTTAAAAAGTAGTGATGGATCCGCATACAGAAGGTAATAATGCATTTATGGTATTTTTTTTTTTAATCATTTTAGTAAGCAAAAGTTCAATTAAATGTAACGAAAATAGCGGTTTTCAACGAGTATTTTTGAAGTGAAACTTCTTAGGCGGCGGTATCGCAAAAAATGGACTGAAATTTTTAAAACTGAAAACGTTACATGAGTGAGAAGGAAGATATAGGCAGTTTATGGAAGGGGAAAAAAAGAATAAAGCGACGCATGACGGGTACGAGTACCTACATATGTATATATGTATGTTTGAATGCACGTATGTATGTATACCAAGCAATATACTATGTAGAAATGATGCAAACGTGCTTCGCGTAACTACATCCATTGGTACATATGTACATATGTTTGTATGGATATATTTATGATGAAGCAAACTTGATGTACTGATGGGCATATGTATGTACCTATGGACAGCAATGTTTTCATGTATGTACACATGTTTGAATGGTTGTATATATATTTCTATGTATGTATGTACATATCCCAATTTGCCACAGGGCGAAGAAGACGTCGTTGCGACGTCGCTCTGGCGAAGTCGTTCTGGTGAACTCGAAACGACGTCGCTCTGGTTGTTGTTGTTGTTGTAGCGGCTACAACAACCCCGCCCGGATCGGCTGATATCTCAGTCGTTGTCGCCGACTTCCATTAACGGCAGCCCCAAGAAGCGTGCAGCCTCTATGGGGTCGGTCCACAGGGTCGACGCCGTTAGGGTTGTGGGGTTTTCCGGGCATGCGAAGAGATGTTTCGAATCGTGAGGGATCTCTCCGCGGTTGCGTGCGCAGAGAAGGAGATCAGGCTGTCGAATGTTACTCAGAGTCTTTTAGGATTACTCACCGTCGGAATTGGTGCGTCATCGACGTGAATTCCTAGCGGTAGCCTAACCTCTTTCGTCCAGGTTGTGAACAGGGTCGCAGAGGATTTCGTAAAGATACCCGTTTACTTTCGAACACAGGTCATCAATTCCATTCCCACTCGCCATGATCGAGCAATCGTCGGCGTAAGAGACAATCGAAACTCCCTCTGGTGGTTGAGGGAGCTTTGAAATGTAAAAGTTAAACAGTAGCGGGGAAAGGACACCACCCTGTGGAACCCCCTGTTTTATTTTTCTAAGTTTGCTCGATTTGTCTCTAAACATTACCGACGAGTGTCGACCACTCAGATAATTTGCCGACCACCGTTTGAGCCTCTGTGGTAGAGAGGAAGCCTCTATATCTTCTAGTAGCGTGGAATGGCTGACAGTGTCAAAAGCCTTTGACAGGTCCAACGCTACTAGCATCGTTCTCTCACAGGGACGTTTACGGTTAAGGCCACGAGTTATATGAGTGCTTATGGCGTTAAGTGCTGTTGTTGTACTGTGCACTTTACGGAAACCATGCTGATGCTTCGCTGGGGTCAAGTGGTTGGTGAAATACGGGAGCAGCAAAACCTCGAGTGTCTTCGCTCCCGGAGAAGGAGTGTTATCGGCCA